ACAGAGGAGCAGACAATAACCCCCAAGGAAATGCTGCTGTTTGAGCTGCCGGGACACAAACATTGTTTTGTTTCCGTTTTCCAGATGGATTTTCCTAAGCAGCTTGAGCAGATGAGCTGTGAGAGCTGGCAGTCCTGGGCTATGGCTTCTCAGCGGGACAGCAGATTGGGGCTGGGACGTTCCCTGGGAACGCGGTGGCATTTCATCCAGTACCGCAGGAGCGTGCCACTGGGAGGGTCAGCGTGCTAGTACATGTCGCTGGATTTCTGTAGAACTGCTAAGGGCTTTGCCCTGTAGTGACTCCTGCAGCCACCTACAGACTGAGAAATCCCCTTTCTTTTGGGCTTCATGTAGCCCTAAGCAGTGAAGATGAAGGTCTGGTTGCTGGGCTTTGAACAGTTATTAGAGGGAGTTTGGGTGAATAATACTGTGGAACTTTGGAGCTGAGGCAGAATTTGGGGAGACCAGCTGAAAGAGGGTGCTGACAGAGAACATAGATGAGGTGGGATTGCTTTGTCGTACGTGGGTCGTGTCAAGTTGCAAGCAGGTCACCATCTCATGCCGAGGGGAAAGGTGAATGTATTGAGCTGGCAGGGCTTCCTCCTGCTAACGCCTCTCTGCAGACTTCACGAGTGGTCTGTCAATGTGAGAAGAAACTATCAGCACCAGTGGGTCCAATTTCAGTGGGGTGTTGACCTCCTATCTTCTGCTTGACAGCAGGTAGCAATGGTCTGAACTGCAGGAGGTTTGAGTGGGGACCAGGAGGAGTTTTTTGAGTGATCGAGGTGGGGATGCTGAGGGAGTCTGCAAGCCCTTGCAGAACCAGGGATAAGGAGATTCTGGGGAGGGTTTGCAGGGGGTTAGTGTGTTGCGCTGCGTGGGTGCAAATATGCCTTGGGTGTCTGCGTGATGCTGTGAGCTTAAAGCAAATCTTGCTTCTGGATTTGGGTAGTGGGGAGTAGCTGGTTCTCTCCAGGGGTGTTGGTGTGGTGTGGGTGGTCTCCTGCGGTGCAAGATCTACGCACAGTCCTTTTCCTTCAGCTATGGCTGTGTTCAGCTTGTATTTACTTGTATACCTTCTTCTGAGGCTAATGTCAGGCGTGATGGGATGTTGGATTAGACTAAATCTCCTAGGTTTAGCTGGAATGTTGTCTCGCTGTAGCATTTTTCTCCCTTGCTCTTTTCTCTAAGCCTTTCCCT